TCTTTCTAGCCTAAAACACATTTCTCACAGAAGAAACGCTGCATGCCTATCGATTCTCTGGTGTTATTTCCAAGTATTTATGCGAGCTACATTCATTGGTTTCACCAGTTCAGACATTTACACCTTAGGACTCGCTATGCCACGAGTACAAGGTCAAGTTAGCCTAATCCCATTCGTATTTCATTTGTAAGAAGGAAGTTCCACTTAGCTTATTCTCGAGTACGGCTATTTTGTGAAACAGACTCCCGATAGGATGCTTCCCTGATCACTAAGAGGGAAGCATCCTCTCGGGGGTCCTTTTCAAGTCTCAAAAATAAAAACGGAAAGAAATACTAATCAAAAATTAATCATGAGGATAACAGCTAATACTACTTCAGCTAACAAACAGCAAAAAAAAAAAACTAGAAAATTTAAATATAATCCGGGTAATTTATGTCGATTTCAGTTAAGTCGAAACAAACAAAAAAAAAATGGACGAAAGACTAGTAAAAAAAATATTAAATGTAATGGCAATGCTTCATATTAAAAAAAATTAAACAAATTATGAATAGGACATCTAATACTACTTGTTTACATTATATTATATTGTCCTTATGTTTGTTGTTGTTATTCCAACGTTTCAGGGGTTGTAAATCCCCGCCCCGGCCTTTCTCAAGTGTATATCGATTTGGGTAACCTACAGGGAATTCTGAGCTGAACCCTTTATCTAAGCTACTTATACTGTCCTCGTTCCAGCGCTCATGTCTAGGTATACCGGCTAGTTTTTTATTTTCTGTAGATTACACAGATCAACATACACCCGAGGAAGTCTGGGGTGCACAACGGCCGAAATTTTGCGATAGTAACAACAAAGATAGGGAAAAGAGTCAAAATAAAAATTGTGTAAATAATGGTTACTCCTCATCTCAGAAATTCACATAGATAACAATACAAAAATGAGATGAAAAGATCAAACAATAAAAATGAATAATAATGACGATACTTTTTTTTCTAAGAAATTCAAAGAACTTAAAACTGTTGCACTGCGTATTACGACAGATCAGCCCAGCCATAAATTCATATGAAAGAAAAACTAATAAAAGACATATTAACGGTAATAAAACCTCTGGGAAATTCAGACTACTTAAAACTTTTACATGTGATATTTTTAATTTCAATAAACAATATGGCGGTACATTGATCGGAGAAAAAAATGGCTAACTTTGAGCGATTACTTAATTCCCATAGCAAAACCAGTAAGACACTGCCTAGGTAAGACATTCGTCCAAGGATAATGGACCCGAGTTCAAGTATCGCCTGGGATTTTATATTCCATCCATGCTGTTTAATTAAGTTCCATAGAATAAATACAAAAAACTACGATAAAAAAGAAACAAAAAAATAACAAAAGTAAGGAAACGGTCGATTATAGCTCTCCAAACTTCCTGTTTCTTGTAGCGTTTGACTCCATAGTTCCGCCATCCATTCGCACAAGATCAGGCAGGTTTTCTGTTAGATTATTAACCAAAGGGGTCAGTAAAATTGTGCCAAGAATAAGTTCAATCGCAAATCCGTATTCAGAAAGCAAAGCGGTTGTAAACAGTCCAGCAGGAAAATTATTACCGAAAATGTAGTCAAAAATCCAATCTTCCACTCGCAACAGAGAAATTGCACTTTCTCTCAGGAAACACAAGAATCGTTCAATATTTATTGTGCATAATATACAATTGTAGCATAAGGCCTAAAAGTGGGGGAATGGGTTGAGACTTGTCGACACTATCCTATATCTAGCTACTCAGATTCACAACCAATTTATTCATTACAATTTGAACATCCACCATTAAAACTCGACCATCATCATTGAATCCTACATATATATTGTAACCTAAGAAAGGGTTACTGAATGAGGAATAAGCAAAACGGATGTTGGAAATGAAATAATAATCTTTATAACATCAACAAAATACATTACTCGCCAGCGGCATGAAGTAGGTAAACCACTGATAGTGGTGGACTACTTAGACAGCATATTACCCGCACTTACGTATTTATGAGGATTGGGACATACCCATTAGTGTTCATAGGAACGGTATATAACAATATACCACAATACCGCACACACACAGTGACCCTACAAAACACCTCATCAGATAAAAATTCTTGGGTAAAATTATATATAAAATTTTTGATGATAAGAAATGGGGAGGAGGGGAAACTCACAAACTAAAGATAACTGATGTCTGACCCTCAAGGAAATAAGAGGGACCGCCGTATTCTGTCTTCTGATAAAACCAAGAGGCTCTCTCGCTAATGGAGATGGAAGGATAAAATAAATACGGCCATAGGAAAACTGACTCGGTGGAGGTGAAAAAAGAGGCAAAAAACAAACTGGGGAGGCTGAGAATTTCGGCTTGAATCATAATCAAAGTAGAAGCCGGGAACAGGCTGAGAACGACTAGGTGTACAAGAAAGGTCTATCCTAACCAGGGAAGAGCTTTACAGGAAACCGCCCGTTGTGACATAGGGGGACTTAAAAAAAAAGAAAATCAAGGCTAGCACCGTTCGCCATTTTCCCAGCTTTCGCTGAAATCTGTCCCCAAACAAGGCGATAAAGCCACTAAGACGCAAGAGGACAACTGAGAGTGAAAGAGAATGAGAAGACTTTAGTGAAGAGAAAGGACAATAAAAGAACTGGTTTCAAGAAAGACATAAGATTTTTGTAGATTGTAAGCGGCAGGGAAGCAATAAACCGGAAGTGAGTTCCAAAGGTGAGGAGTAAAAGTAAAGGAACTATTAGAATAGAACTTACGGTTGCATCTAGCTATTTCAACAGTAAAACAAGGAAACATAGCCAATCTAGTCGTACGTTTAAATTCATGGGGTCAAAGAAGGGAGCTCATTATAATCATTGCTATTGCTATAGAAAAGACACAGGGAAACCACATCACTTAGTACATAGTTCATTTATTCAACCTTTTACTAAGTTTAACAAGTCCTTTTTGAAAACTATTTCTTTTTAATCATTTTACCAAAAGGAAGGCGATAATGCCACTATGATGTCACAAACGGTTACTGAGGTTGGAAGAAAATGAGAAAACTTTAGTGAGGAGAAATGACAAAAGAAAAACGGGCGTCCTCAGAAGATAGCGATTGATTTTGCATTTGAATTTTTGAAGATTGTAGATAGCAAGAAGTCAGAAATCGTAAGTGAATTCCACAGGCGAGAAGTGCGAGAAAAGAAACTATTAGAATCGAACACACGATTGTATCTACCTAGTTCAACATTAAAATGGTGAGACCTAATCTAGCAGTACGCTTAAATTCATGCAGTCAAACAACCAACAAGGAGAGCTCATCAGAACAATTGCCATGAAAATATTTGTAGAAAAGATAGAGAGAAGCCACATCAGTTACGCCCTCGATGACTGTCCTATACACCTGGACTGTGACAGAGATATGGTAACTTTCATAAATACCTGTTGACTTTACTCTCAGTCGAAAGGGCTTGACGTTCCAGCCCAGAAAAAGTCAAATTTTCAAACGCTGATTTTCTAGAGATACAAGCATTCTTCCCTTAAAAAATTGACGCAGCATTATTCCAAATTCCATTTCTCTCGTATTTCACTCAGCTAAATATTCCGTAACTATTTTTTTAATAAGAACATCGGAAGAGAATGAGAAAACTTTAGTGAGGAGAAAGGACAATAGAAGAACGGTTCTCAGGTAAGCGGAAGTTAGCGATTGATTTTGCATTTGAATTTTTGAAGATTATAAATGGCAATGAAGTAAGAAATCAAATGTGTATTCTACAGACGAGAAGTGCGAGTAAAGAAACTATTAGAAGCGATCATACGACTGTCTCTACATAGTTCAACATTCAAATGCTGAGACCTAACTGCCAATCTAGTAGTACGCTTAAATTCACGCGGTCGAAGCACCAATGAGGACTGTTCATTAGAAGAATTGAAATGAAAATATTTGTAGAAAAGATAGAGAGAAGCCACTTCAGTTACGCCTTCGATGACCCTCTTATACACGTGGACTGTGACAGAGATAAGATAACTTTCATAAGTACCTGTTGGCATTTCTCTCATTTGAAAGGGTTTGACGTTCCAGTCCAGGAAAAATCAAATTTTCAAACGCTGATTTTCTAGAGATACAAGGATTCCTCCCTTGAAAAATTGTCGCAGCATTATTCCAAATTCCATTTCTCTCGTATTTTACTCAGCTAAATATTCCGTAACTATTTCACCCCAAGAATGCTACTAGAACGCAAAGGATTATTGCGAGTGAAATAAAATGAAAAGACATTAGTGAGGAGAAAGGACAATAGAAGAACAGGTGTCAGGGGGGACGGAAAATGGCGTTTTTGCGTTCAATTTAAATTTTTGAAGATTGTTGGTGGCAGGCAAGTAAGAAGTGAGTTCCAGAAATTAGAAGTGTGAGAAAAGTGCTGGATTGGCAACTAGGTCCCATTGTTTTAATGGTAATAGATCTAACCCCAACATCTATTCTAACAGCTGCTTTTCTCACACTTCTCGCCTGTGGAACTCCATACCTTCCCTGATATCTACAATCTTTAAAATTTTAAATGCAGTCGCTACCTCTGTCTTATTGAACCGTGTTCCTTTATTGTCCTTTCATCAATCCTCTCCGCCAAAGTCTTCTCATTCTCTTACACACCCTGTAATCCTCAGTGGCCTAGTGGCATTACGGCCTTCCTTGGGGTGAAACGATTTAAACATCAATAGAATTTGCTGATACATCTATTTCAACGGTAAAGCGAGTTGCTCTCACTTTGTCTTCTTCTTTGTCTATCAATCTCTCTCTATTTCTCGCTCTTTCTCTCACTCACTCTCGATGAATTGAAGAATATGTCGTAAAATTAAGAAAGAATAACCATTCATACTGGATAGTGTTTAAAGATAAAGAATACTTCGTAAAGAAAATTTTAACTGACACTCCCTATTCATTTCTTTTGGAAACTCAAGAAAATCAATGCTGACATCCGTAGTACATTTTCACTTTCGACGCCATGTTGTTTTAATACAAGGACGAGCAAACGGACTGGGAAATAAACACGGCAGGTGAAAGCCCGCCAGCAGAAAGATTGCCGTCCTTGATTGGAAATGCTGATGGTATGAAGAGAGAGTAAGACAGACATAGGACAACTGCCAAAGTATGAGTGAGAGAGAGAGGGAGATAGAGCGTGATAGAGAGAAATTGCTAAAGGGAAATCAAAGAGCAGAGGGAGCCTCATGGAGAGTTAACTGCCAAAGAGTAAGATGAAAGAGAGAAAGAGAGGTAAAGCAAGAGAGAGAGAGAGAGAGAGTGAGAATACTTACGTGACACCGAAAAGCAGGAAAAGATTAGAAAGAGAGAGACATAGTAAGAATGCTAAAGAGAATATGAAAAGCGGGAAAAGATTAGAGAGTGATAGAGAGAGAGATAGTAAGAATGCTAAAAAGAATATGAAAAACAGGAAAAGATTAGGGAGAGAGAGAGCGAGAGAGAGGGAGAGATAGTAAGAATGCTAAAGAGGAACCGAAAATCAGGGAAAGATTAGAGAGAGAGTAGAGGAGGGCGAGGAAAACAGAGTGAGAGAAAGAAATTGCAAAAAGAAAGCAAGTAACAGAGAGAGCATCAGTGAGAAGTAACTACTAAAGAGGAAGATGAGAGAGAGAAAAGAGAGAGCAAAAGAGAGAGAGAGTGAGAATACTAAGAAGAAGCCGAAAAACAGGAAAAGATTAGAGAAAGAGAGAGAGAGTAGAATGCTAAAGAGAATATGAAAAGCAATGAGAGATTACAGAGAGAGAGAGAAAGAAAGAAAGAATGCCCAAGAGAACCGAAAAGCAGGGAAATATTAGAGAGAGAGAGTGGGGAGGGAAAATGAGAGTTAATGTTAAAGAGAGACCGAAAATGAGAGAGCAATGATAAATGAGAAAGCGGTGTGAAAGAATGAGAGAAAAAGAAAGAGAGAGCTTGTATGTGCGAGAGAGAGAGAGAGAGAAAGACAGGGAGATTGTGTGAGTGGATGCTAAGGATAAACAAAAAATAGAGAAAGCCTGTGTGACTGGAAAGTCATACGCGATCCACGCTTGGGCGATCATGTCTTTTTCGATTCATGACTGATGAGGCAGATTTTCCCGCAGTAGGTTGCTATTTCTTCCTGCGGTCGACTAGTTGCCAACCAAGACTATAAGACCCAGTTTGTCCAGCTATTTAACCCATAATTGGGGAGAGAAGAGATAGATCCATACCTTTGTGCGTAAGTGAAGGTAACGAATCCAACTGGAACTCGACTCTTCGAGTTCTCATTCGGAGGCGTTACCCATGACACAACTCACACTCTCATGGAAAATACCAAAGTATAAAATGTTTAAATCGTACACGAAAGCCGTACTTTAACCAGTCTCACGCGCATTTTTACGACTTATCAACCCTTTGTGGGTTATTTAAAGCCGAGATATATTTTTGACTAGCAGTAGAGCTCGGAGTTGCCCGGGGATGTAACAGTAAGAGATAGATCAAGTATCGACCATCATAAAGACTGAAAAATAAAATTGACAAAGATTATTGCTTAAGGTTGACGGACACGCATGTCTTAATTAATTTTTTATTTTTTTTTTACGAATTGATCCAACCCAAACTCAAACAAAAACATTGTTTTCAATTGTTATGAGTCTACCGATTGAATAGAATTTTATTATAAACAATTGTGTTGTAAATGGAATTTTTAAAGCATTCTGGGTGTAAAAATAAAGAAAAAAATGTGCCAGACAATAAGAAACACTAACTGCCAAAAAAAGTGAAGTTATGTTGAAATCGGTTGAAAATGGTAGGAAATCCGATCCCATATATAAACGAACACACACACACACACACACAAACAACCTGGGTTTTTATAATAAGTATAACTCGATATGAGTTGTCCTCCTTTCATTCTCGCGACAGCGATGCCTCTTAATCGTGTTTTCAAATAGATTTCGTGCAAAAACACTTGTTTTTCCAATTTTTGGCGCTGTCAGAACGACCGCAAGGTAATTTTACGTAGTCCTGTGAAGTTTTGTTGAAATTGGTTGAAAAATGTAGGAAATCCGATCCAGTATATAAACGAACACACACACACACACACATACCACCTGGGTTTTATAATACGTATTATTGTAGGAGGTTGTTTAGAGTACCTGGTGTTCCCAAGTGGTCCTCCATTTAAGTACTAGCCTAATTCGACATTGCTTAACTTCAGTGAACAGACGAGAACCGATATGATCTGACTGTAAGCCACAAAACGAAGAAAGAATGCATAGAGAATTTGACACGCTCAGGACATACTGAAAGCAAGAGGCCAACGGAAAACAGCAAGTAACCTACCGAACAAGCTTATGCAAATGGTTGGCACCACGGGGATTCGGAGGTTTAGCAAAAAGACAATAATTGTTACGAACTACAGAGGATGGAAAGTTGTGGGGAGCCATGATCATTCACGTTCTGAAGAGACACGACAGTTAGGAGAAGAAGAAGAAGTGCTTTTCATCATTTCAGCTATAAAAGTCTTTCTTGCCATAAAATCCCATACTTTCCTGGCTAATACTCAGAAAGGTTTGTTTCTTGACTGAGCTGTATGAGTACGCACATTTTTAAAGAAACGCAACTGGCCGGCTTTAACAAAGTCGAAGTTCAGAATTTTAAATACTTGCTTACGTTGACGTCCGTGCGTTCCTTGTAGCAACAGAAATCTCAACGTCTCGAATGCGCAGACGCAAACAGATAACCACTTGGCAACAAGAATTATGTCACTTCATTTCAGTCAAAGAAACTGTGTAATATGAATTTTCTTTGAGTTTTTCTTTCGATTTACTTCAAGTACACAAACACACAGATAGAGTTTAAAGAATTTAATATTCTCAAAGAGTACAATTAGACACTTATTGATCACCCTTTCGTCTTCTTTCCTTTTTAAATAAACGTTTTAATCTGTTCAACTGTGTTTTAATATTATGTGACTAAAAAAAGACTTGGTTACAGAGAAAAATAAACTTTCATATAAAAACAGATATTGCGCTAACATTGTGTCTAGTCATCGTATATTACTCTTATACTTATGGTGTTGAATTATATTTGATTTGCGTCTTTCACTGGACGCGTTCTTCCTTTTCTATGTGCCGTGTCACTTTATCATTATGCGATCATGGCTCCCCAAAATATCCTGCCCTTGGTAGCTCTCATTTTTTGCTATCTCTCCTAATCCCTGTTCTGCCAACCATTTATAGGAGCCATTTAGGTAGGTTATACGCTGCTTTTTTCTGTTCCTCTTACCTTCATTATATCCCGAGAGTGTCAAATTTTCCAAACACTCTTTCCTCAATACGCGCCCTAGCAAATTCAACTGTCTCCTTCTGATATTATGTATGAGTGAGCTTTTTGTTTCCATTTTCTAGGACACCTATTGAAAACAAAAAGAATTTGAAAACTAACCCAGCATATAATCTGTTTCGTTGAAATGATGAAAAGCACTTCTTCTTCTTCTCCTAACTGTCGTGTCCCTTCAGGACGTGAATGATCATGTCTCTCCACAACTTTCCATCCTTTGTTGCTCGTAGCATTTCTTGTCTTTTTGCTAACCCTCCGAAAAATTTAATATATAAGTTTTTCTAATGTCCTTAAAATTGAGTAGGCTATTCACTGCTTTCCTCTCTTCCTCTTGCATTCGACATGTTCTGCAAGCGTCAAATTCTACAAAGCCTCTTTTCTCATAATGTGCCGGTATCCATTTTAAGGAAGGTAACAGTGCTGATAGCAGACACGGAAAGGAAATTACAAAACCTCCTACAGAAGATAGCGAAGGAGAGTGAGAAGAAAGGACTAAGCATAAACTGCAAGAAGACATAATGCATGGTCATTAGCCAAATGATCACGAAATACGATTTACAGGTCGGGGAGAGGTGCAAAAATTTAAATATCTAGGAAGTTTTCTGACAGAGAACGGCTAAGTACGACGCTGAGATCCGAAGACGTATTGGGATGGTCAAAGACGCATTCCAAAAACAAAACAGAGTATCACAAGACAGGAGGATTTCTTTGGTAACGAAGAAAAGAGTACTGAGCTGCTATGTGACATCTCTCCTCCTTTACGGCAGCGAATGTTGGACGGTCTCCTCAAAGATGATGAAGAGACTCGAGGCAACGGCGGTATAGTTCTACAGAAGAATGCTATGGTTAACATGGACCGAACGTGTGAGCAACGATGTGGTCTTCGAGACGATGCCAGGAGGAAGCTTATATTTAACATCAGGAAGAGGCAGCTGAAATTTCTGGGACACGTAATGAAAAAGAAGGAAATCTGATACTCACAGGGAGGAGAGAGGAAAAGAGAGACAAGTGGATGAGAGAACAGAAGTAGGAAAAAGACAAAACATATTGAGAACAGCAAGGGATAGGGTGAAGTGGGGAGCCATGATCGCCTACGTCCTGAAGGGACACGGCACATAAAAGACAAAAGAAAAACAAAAATAACTCTTATAGTTAGAATCCGAAAGAGACGAATGGAATTTCTAGGATACATAATGAGAAAAAGGACTTGAAGAATTTGAAATTCACAAGACATATTGAAGGTAAGGACAGACGATTCTAGCGAGTGACGTCCATGTTTGGCAGAACAGGGAGTGGGAAGGAAGGTGAAAAGATAAACGTTAGCGATAGTTACCATGGACGATGACCACTGGCATTCTTTTTATGTGCCATGTCCTTTCAGGGCATAGGCGATCATGGCTCTTCCCCCCACTCTATCCCTTGCAGCTCTCAGCAAGTTCCTTTCCTCTGCTTCCTCCCCCAGACCACGTTCTGTCATCTACTTGCTCAAGCTCATCAGGTATGTCACGCGTTGTTTTCTCTTGTCTCTCTTTCTCTCTATTCGACCCGTGAGTATCAGATTCTCCAGGCCCTCCTTCCTCATTATGTGTCCCAGCACAAGAAGAATAGAGGATTGATCTGGTGTCGCTAATGTAAGTAAACACTGAGAAATGGTGTAGAATATTAAAACCATTCACTAAAGAATGAAAGCCAAAGCCTGGAAGTAAACATCACAAAGAGAAACGTTTAAATCGGATAAAGTACACGAAATATAAATTCTCAAGGGTAGTTTGAATGTTAAATCTAGAACAAAAGTTAAGGACAAAATTATTAGCCATAAATATTGAAATCTATTATTTAAATTCCAAGTGCGTCTTCTTTAATAGAACAAGGAATTTTTGACACAGCATTTAATCCGGCACACTTGAGACCAGGCCACAAGCGAATCACAGAAAATGTCAGATTGCAGAATTAACTGCTAAAAAAAATATATGTAAACCTAGTCTTGCCAGCTCATCTTACTTATTATAAAACGCAGATTGTGTGTGTGTGTGTGTGTGTGTGTGTGTGTGTGTGTGTGTTTGTGTCTGTAACGTTTATATATTGGATCGGATTTCCTACATTTTTCAATCGATTTCAACAAAACTTCACAGGACTACATAAAATTACCTTGTGGTGGTTCTAACAGCGCCAAAAATGGGAAAAATATAAATGTTTTTGCACAAAATCAATTTGAAAACACGATTAAGAGACATCGTGAAAATGGAAGTGGGGGACAACTCACATCGGGTTGTTTGTGTGTGTGTGGGTTCCTTTAAATATGGGAGCGGATTTCCTATATTTTTCAGCCGATAAAACAAAACTTCACTTTTTTTTTTTTTTTTGGCAGGTAGTGTTTTTATTTCTTTTGTTTTTTTTTTTTTATTTTTAACATTCAGAATGCTTTAAAAATTCCATTTACAAGACAATTATTTATAATAAAATTCTATTCAATTGGGAGACTCATAACAATTGAAAACAATGTTTTTGTTTGAGTTTGGGTTTGACCAATTCGTAAAAAATAAAAAATAAAAAAACTAATTAAGACATGCGTGTCCGTCAACCTTAAACAATAATCTAACGATCTATACTGATTGTACGAATACAAACATCGGATAAATTCTTTATCTTTAGGGAAAGATAATG